TGTAACCCCAAGCACTCTGAGAGGCTGAGGTAAGAGAATTGTAAATTCAAGCCCAGCAAGGACAACATAGCAATTTAGCAAGAGCCTGTCTCAAAATAAAAAGCAGCCTTTGGATATAGCTCAGTGTGAAGGCCCTGTATTCAATTCCCAGTATGAGGAGCAGGTGGGACCCTTGAGGGATGGAGGTCCTCCTGATTTGTTCTCATGAGAGAACAAAAAACTCAATGATGAGAGAGAGAGAGCTGAGTTAAGAAAGTCCCAGCCAGAAGCAAAGAAGAGAAAATCCTCCCTTTATGATTTGTTTAGGTGGCAAGAAAAAGAGGGGGAGAAAGAAAGGAACTGAGATGTCAGAGTCTTGGCAACCCCAATACCCTGAGATCAACACACTTGTGTTGGGTGGAAGTTGGGTCTAGAAACCCAGACATATTTAGAGAGTGTGAGGGCATAGCCACCACAGCCTGGCTTCCAGGTATGTTTATAGCCCACAGTCAGCACAACGGAACCATGTCCAATCTTACTTCTTAGAACTAGATCAGAAGTAGGAGAAAAATTGAAAATGTTCAAAAGTTGGTATCGACTATGGTTATTCCTAAAGAAAATAGTGCCTGAGAGCCCAAAAAAGGAAACGGAGAATTCTGTGAATTTTGTGCTCTGTGGGTGCTCTAGATAGATAATTTATTGGAATGTCCATAATTCTGTGTCCATCCTCATATCCATCTCTTTTACAATATGACTTTGTAGTTCTTCCAATCAAAAAGGAAAATTTATTTTACATCCCTTGAATTTTGTCTGGTCACATAACTTGCTTTGACCAAAAGAAGTGGCAGAAGTGACATTGGTACTTGCAATTTCTGTTTTCTCTCAAAACTGTCACTCTCTTGTGAGGAAGGGAGGTTTGCCTTTTTAGGGATGAGATCACAGAGAACAGTCTAGACCATGTTTCTGGAAGCTGTGGAAACCTAGAAGATCCTGGGATTGTTTTCATTGGCAGATTAAGGTTTCCCTTCTCAATAGCCAGCAATAAGGGCCTCCTGAGGAAGTAGAAATCAGTTATAGAAGATGAAGATGCCACATAGTCACCTCTTTGCTCAATTTAACTACATTACATTTTGACCGCAGGAAATGAAGGCCTAGAGAGTTGTCAGTGATTGTACACTTAGGAATCTAGTCTTTGTTCTCCCTACTCTGCCAGAAGGAGGGCTACACAGAGCTTGCCTTATAATAAATCCTTTTAAGTGAGTATCACCTCCTCTATTTCTCATGAATCATGAATAATGGGGGCTGTGATGTCTAGCATTCATGCTGTACTGAGCTCTCATATGTTATCTCATGCAATCCTTTCAATACTTTTCAAAGGAAAGGACTGCTGCTATTCTCACTCTGAGGATGATGGAGATTCTCGGAGATGGTAAGTATTTTTGAAAGCTCATACTGCTGGGTGTGGTAATGCACACCTGTAATCCAAGCTACTTGGAAAGTTGAGGAAGTATCAGTTACTTGGTTACTTTGCTAGGACATTTGGAGAGCCCTCACTTCCTCCTGCAGATAAGATCTAAAGCCAGAAAAAGTGAGAGGCAAAGCTACTGCATAGAGACTTCCTGTGCCCTGATGATCCAGGGTGGGCAGCTCTGAGAGCTCAGGGTTGGGAAGAAGTGAGAAGAGGTGCCAGTTGTGCATAAGAATGCAGCCATATGTCTTATAATTGGGGAGGTGAGAGACACCAGCTCTACTTAAGTAAGTGTGGCCTTTTTCCATTGCTAAATTCTGTATGAATGTCCCTGCAGAGTGGCATTTTCTACATACTCAGCACTATTTTCTGGCTCAACATTTGACATCTATCCTGGGTGATTGCTGTTGCTCCAATTCATTCATTATCACAGCTGTATAGTGTTCCATTGTAATGCATGTATGGATTCCATCAATGGGAGAAACCCAAGCTTGCTTCAGTTCCTCAGTAGCAGACTTTCACTCTGTCTCCTGGTACAGGCATGCAAAGGTTTCCTGAGTTTGTATACCCAAAAGTAGAATTGGTGAGTTGTATAGGTTTATACCTTGTCAATTCTGCCACGTTTCATTGCTTTCCAGTGCTACTGAGCCCACGGACTTTCTCACCAATTACTGGACAATTCCTTTTCCTCACATCCCTGCCAATGCTCCATAAGAACACACTTGTAAGAATTTTTTTATCAGTTGTCATTGTGATGCATACTGCTGCCTAATACAGCTAAGCTTCTTTTGAGCCACAGACTGGCAGTACTATGCTGTTATCACCATCAGTTGGTATGGGAAGCTATGAAAAGAGAGAAATAGTCCCAACTTTGCTGAGGCAGTGACAGTATAATAGGAGGCCAAAACGTCCTGCAACATCTGTGAAGGAGACTCTGGAAGGTTTGAATGTCAGTTTAAATCAATACATTGCTCTACCCAGCAGCTGTCACTGGGCTGCCAAGCCAAAGAGGGTCAAGTGTTTGGGGAACTAGCAGGGAAGATCAGGGGAGACTTGATCCTGGGTACACACAGCCTTGCCCACAATGAAGGCATCAGGAATGAGTAGCCACCCCAGGAGGTGACAAAAGAAGGCTTGGGTGGGGCTGCATCTGGTGGAGGGTGGGGCTAATGGGTGGGGCTAGAGTGAGGCCAGGGTGGGAAGGAAGGTGAAGATGATTTTTAGGAATGAAGCTGAGATGAGTTGTGGAATGAAACTGAGAGTGAGAGGGTTGCAGTGAGGAGGGTAAGTATGAAAGTGGAATTGGGTGAATCAGGAGATGATAGTGGTAGATCTACAAAGTAGGGATAAAACCGGAAGTGGCAGGGGTGGTAGAATTTGAGTGAGAGAGCTGGGATAGAGCTGGGCCTCAAAACATCTCCCGATCTAGTTTCATTAAAGACACTTAAATAAGTTTTATATAATTGTAGTTTCAAGTTCACATCCCCACTGCCCTAAATTCCTCCAGTCAGATTATCTATAGCTGCCTCCAAAAACTAGATATAGAAATTAACCAGCATGGTGCCAAAGGCCAAGGAGATGCAGTGTAGTGCAGTTATTACAAACACAGATTAGAATACATCCAGATACCTGGGTTTAAACCCTTTTAAGAGTCTGAATGGAAATGACAATAATAGAACTCACTTCATAAGACTATCATGAGAATGAATGAGTCACTATAATTAAAATCCTTTTAAAAGTATCTGGGTCACTGTAAGTGCTCAGAAAACATTAGCTACCTTATAGTATTAGTATAGGGGGAAAATGTCTCTCAGGCCTCTGAAGCAGGCAACAGAAAGGGCTTTGCCCAGTAGCACAAAAGTAAAGAGGGTGTGACAATCCAGTGCAGAGATGTCAATACCATCTGAGCAGCTGGATCTTGGGGACCTGATCACCCACAGATCTTTAAGCTGGGGTAAATCATTGTAGGTTTTCAGGTAGGAAGACTTTGTAGGCTGCCAAGTGTGAGCATAGTCCTGGACTTCCTCTGGAATTGGAAGACATTTCAAGTTGACACAGCAATGAGAAGGCAGGGAATCAAGGTTGGTGCTGGATGGTCTTATAGTGGACATGAGAGCTTGCTTGCACCACAAAGGACAGCCTGTCCCTATACTTCTATCAGGATCCAGTGCAGTTGAAAAATCCACTCAAAATAACCTGAACCTAGATCCTAACTCATTTGACAATATAACATAAAATATTTTTACAGTTTTATAAGTATTTGAGTTTTTAATTTTTTTATTAGTACGTGTTTGTAACATATAAAAACTATATTCATCTTGGAATATCAGTACATATACTTATCACATTTTAATCATTTTTACTTCCCCTTTCCTCCTCCTATCTCCCCCAAACCCAAATCCCCTCCTCATCTCCATACAGTTAGTTCTCCATCGAATTTTCAAAAAAAAAAAAAACAATTGTTGTTCCAATGAAGGAAAGATGAGATTTGTGTTGTCCATAATTTTATTAGACTGAAGTTAATAAAGTTGAACTTAATGAAGTTTGAACTGAGGCTGGGGAGCTTCCCAAGCTCTCCTTGAGGAGGGTACACCCAAACTGAGATCTGAAGAATGAGCAAAAGCTTACAAAGAGAAAAGAAAAGGAAAAGTGTCCCAGGCAGTGTGGCAGAAGGCAAGAGGACAAAGAAACTGAAGACCTAAGAGACAGAACTGTGCCTGAGAAGGGGCCCTTGGACCAGAGGCCTGAAGAAAATAAGGGTGCATATTGCCCATCCATAAGGGGAAGGTATTTTAGGAACAAGAGGCATATAGCAAATGCAAAGTCCCTGTGATCAATGCGTATCCAGAACATTTCAATACCAACAAGAAGGGCAGAGTGCCTGGGTGGAAACTAGTAGGAACCCTAGGAAATGAAATGAAGCAGGTAGCCAACTTCACATGGGGCTTGCAGGCCATGACACTTTTATGTAGGGTGAAATAGGGACCCATGGAAAAGCTGTGAGCAGAGGAATGACAGGTTCGGGGCCTTGGGATTTTTTCCTCTAGGATGTAAGCAACAGCAGGCAGGGACTTCATCTCGGTCCCTAGCATGCCCACAGCTCTGGAAGAGCATTAGGCCCTGGAAAGCGGTCAGGAAATGTCTCAAGTAAGCTAATAAACAAATGAATAATTAGTGAATTTGGGGATGAAGCAACAAATAACTGTGAATCTGATTTTTTCAGGATCTGTGTTTCATCCCACAGGTTTGTGGAAAACTCCTGATCCTCCATCCGCTTACATTCTTGCCGTTAGGCTGCAGTCCCCGCCGCGACCTCCAGGGGTCGCGGAGCGGCGCGGGGTGTGGGGGTCGCTCGCACGGAGGACTTTGCGTGAGGCACCACATGGGGCGGGGCCTGTGGGCTAAAGCCCAGCGGCTGAGCCGGGTTGCCCGGCTGGCGGAACGCGACGACGGGGTTGGGCTTGTGCGACGACTGCCGGAGTGGTTTGGGAAGAGCACGAGGCGAAGATGGCCGCGGAACGACAGGACGCGTTGAGGGAGTTTGTGGCGGTGACGGGAACTGAGGAGGACCGGGCCCGCTTCTTCCTCGAATCGGCCGGCTGGGACCTGCAGGTAAGGCCACAAGGCGGGCCTTATTGGGCGGGCTGGGGACTGCGAGGTGCGGGCCCCTGACCCTTTAAGCCCGAGGCGTCCGAAGCGCACAGTCATCCCTGCCCGTCCGTGGCCCAGCCCAGGCCTTATGGCCCTGGGGGCTCTTGCTACGCGTCGCCGGCTTGGTTTTGGAGTGGGAGAACGCGGGCCAGCCCCCTCCTGTTGTATCGGGCCTCAGTTCCCCCCACTGCCTCGCCTGCTCTGAGGCGTCGGCGAGACTTAGGGTGCTATCACAGTCCGCGTGGAGAGGGGTCGCCTGGGGGCGTGACTGCGGAGCCGACTGCCTGCTGGAGGCCGCCCTTGTCCCAGTGACAAACTCCAGACTGAGGCGAGGCTCGGGATGAGGTGATCGCCCCCACCCCATTCCCCGGTTCCCTGTCCGCAGCCTGACCACAGTGGAGACAGGAACCCGACCCTGGAGTTGGCCCACGCCCCGCCACACCTAGTTGCTGAAGAAAAACTATCTGTGGAATGGTGGACTAGGTTGGTTCTTTTCACCTTTGTTAACCGATGTGTATAATAGAAGTGGTGGAATTTACTGGCAGTTCACTGGCAAGTACTAAGTGTTCTTTAAATACTTGTTAACAAGCAGATAAACTTCACTAGGGAGGGAGTTTTTACACACAAAAAAAATGAATCCCCACTGCTTAGAACAATGGTTGGCATATAAGTAATTAATTGTAGAAAAAATTGCATAAATGCTCTTGGCCAGCCTACATCTTAGGTAGATGATGGTGATGATGACTAATATTATTGAGTAGATTCAACAGGCCAAGCACTGTTCTGCTTTACATGTCTTAATGTCATTTAACTTTCGAATTTTGCAGCTGTTTGAGGATAGCTAGCTCAAGTCCTTACTAGCTACCAAGAGTAAGAGATAAAATTAGAACTCACTTTTGTCTCATTTTAATTAGAAGATAAAGACTAGCCCTTATACATATATGAAGATAGGGAAAAAGTCATATTTTCATCTCACTGATTAAGGCCCAAGAATTCTGTCTCTTGTCCCCGTTAGAGTCCCTGTCTGCTTAAGCCCCATTTTATGGATGAGAAATTGGAGACTCAGAGGGCAAGGAATTTGCCCAAGGTCACACAACCAATAAGTAGTGGAATCGGAGTTTGAACTGAGTCTGCTGATTCTACCACTACATTGCTTCCCAAATGTGTTAGATAAAGCTTCACATGCCTCTGCAGACAGTGTGAAGCCCCCTGTGCTGGGCAGAAGTATGAAACAGAAGTGCTCCTCCAAAAGTACATAGTATTATTGTCAGCAGGTCATCTCTTCCATTCTCACACTGTAGGTAGAAAAACTGAGGCTCATGTAAATGGTAGGACCAGGATATAAATATAGTCTCTCTGTCAGTTCAGTGCAAGTGTCAAGGTAACACACTTATTCCCATCAGGGTACTTATTTCTCATAAGGCATACTCAGACCAGTTATGTCCCATGACAGCTTACTGCTTTCAATGTGGCTGGTCACCTTGAGGACAGAAGCTACATCTTTTTCATCTATCGACCCAAGTGGTCTTCTTTCTTTGTATGAGTATATGCAATGTGGTGCCTGTCTAGTGAGTCGGTAAGGGACACATAGAGTCACAAGTGGTCAGAGGATTCCTGTGTTCCTTCAGTATGTACAGGGCTAAGACATAACTGTGCATAAATCTTTTTTTTTTTTTTTTTGACTCTGCATAAATCTTAATGGATTATTTTAGCTAATCTGTAGGGATGGTGGTACAGGTGCCCTCATTTCAGATTAAGAAAGGAAAAATAACAACCAAACCCCACAGTTCCTGACATCTGTCTGTAAAAGTTTGAGAGCCTGAGCACACTGCCTAGTATTGACCCTGGCTCTACTCCTTAACAACTGTATAACTAACTGAGCAATTTTCTTAACTTTGCAGTGCTTCTTTATCATCTATGAAATGAGACAATGATAGTACTAATTATATGGAGTTCTATGAAGATTAAATAAATTAACACATCCAGAGGACTCAGCCCAGCCTGACACATAAATAAATGCTTAATAAATACATGCTGCTTTTACTTCATAAAATAAGAACAAAATGTATCTTCCACCCCACTCTTCTTTCTTGTTTTATTTTCTCTTTGGTGGGTGGAATTCATTTCAGGTGATATGAAGGACTAACAGTCTTCTTACTTTCAGTCAAATTTTCTGTGACTCTAGATACCAGCCATTTTGTGTGGGTCATGTCTTGGTGTTTTGTTTCTTTGTGCTCATAGGAGATAATCTGTATTAGGTGAAGGACTGTTTCAAGGTCCCAAAGTACTGCTTCTCTGTTTCAGATCGCTCTAGCGAGCTTTTATGAGGATGGAGGGGATGAAGACATTGTCACCATTTCGCAGGCAACCCCCAGTTCAGTGTCCAGAGGCACAGCCCCCAGGTAAGGGCCTACTTCAGTTATTACCACTTAAGTGCTTCCTGCAGTGAGGAGGAGTTATTTTCTGATTTGACAGAAGGTTCAGGCTTTAATATGTGGACTAGGAGGCTTGAATTAGAAAATAAATTTAGACCAACTAATGGGGAGTAATTCCCTAATGCCTCACTCATTTCCTGCATGGAGACATGTGTGACTCTTACCTGAGTGTGGTTATGGTTCAGTCTGGGAAAAATCACAGAACCTACTTTTAAGGTATTCGAGGACCTTTTCTTTATGAAGAACTGCTTTTTATATGGAAGTTTTTAAGTAAAATCCAAAAGTCTTTCAAGGTTGCTATAGATGTGAAAGTTTAAGCCAGATGACTTCAGGAATACTACTTTGGCATTTTAGGATACCTCGTACCCTATTAAAAATTCTTATAGAAAATAAGCCTGTGTAACCTACCCTTTAGTTTATTAGGTGAAACAGTATTGATCCTTTTTAGGTCCCATTTGCACCACCTTTCCTGGGCCCTTGGCTTCCATGGCAGATAACAGTTGTGATCTATAGGATGTGACAACACTGATCTTTGAAAAGATAGGCAGAGCCTCTTCATACATAAGTGTCTGGACTCTGACTTTCCTTTCTACTTTAGCTTTTACTCCCTGGAATATATTTTCACCAGAAAATTTTATTTGGGTTTAAATTCACCCCCCAGAAAACAGAAAGAATGTTCATTTCTTTAGCATGAAATGGTAAATTATCTCTCTCAGGATACTTAAGGTTTAAGATATATTTTTTTCCTTTGAATGAAAACTAGCACCAAATCTCATTGCTCTCTTCACATCTTTCCCTGGTTCTCATCTGCACAGAAAAGAGGTAATAAGCAGTCTTTCAGTTACTTGCTTGTGACCATTTAGCAGACCATCACTAAGATATAAGATGTTGGTGATAGCACATAGTTTATTAACTGCCTTTGACATGGTTGTTAGGGTGAGGGCTGTTCTTCCAGCTGCTGATAGTGGTGATTGATTTCCTAGGATCCATGTCTTTGACTGCCGCCTGAGGACACTGTTGGGATATTAGGAGGTCAGAATTACCAATGGGGAAAGGTTGCAAGTTAGCCTCTAATGCCATCATATTCTTATATCCTCTTTTCAGCAGTCTTGAAGTCCAGTCAAGGAAATGGCTTATTAGAGCAGGGACCTAGGAACCGAACTGCGTAGATTCAAAGCCCAGCTCTACCACTTCAGAGCTTTGTAACCTTGGGCAGATTACTTGCCTCAGTCCCTTAGTTTTTCTTGTATGTCAAATGGGATTAATGGTAGCATCTGCCTCATAGCAGTTTAAATGAATTAATACTTAACATAGCATTTAGAACAGAGTATGTATCTGCTGTTTTTTTTAATTATTTTTTTAGTGTCCTCCCTTATTCTTTGTGCCCAGCTCCATTCTAGATCAAGTACATATGTTAAAACATAATCATAGAAGCAAAATAATCAAAGAAATGGAGTTGAACATTAAGCGTGGAAAAAGTAAAAGACTAGACACATATTTGAGCCCAGAAGCCTTGCTTCTCTGGTTAGATTAAGTATAAGACTTGATAATGGGCTTGGTGAAGGCAAGAGAAAGGAGGAGGGAAGGCACTTTGTTCCATCTTTGTCCTGGTCTTAAAGGAAAATGTTGACTGCATTTTTAGAGAAGCCAAAATTGTGCTAGCACCCCAGATGAATTTTGTGGGATGCCTCACAAGTGTCACAAGATACTTTGCCTGTTGCTAACCTCTCCCCATTCCTTAATCATCTTATCTACCTTTCATGTCACCACTATCTCAGAACACCATTCAATGATTGAGCTCCTCCATTGCCTCTAGAACAGAGGTGTTGAATATGAAGCCCCTGAACCCTTGGGAATAGTCTTTGGAATAAATGAGAAAAGGTCTATAAAATACCTGAAATTGTGGGAGGGGGTTGTTTTGTTTGAGGGATTTTGTGTTTTGTTTTGTTTTGTTTTGTTATTTTTTCGAACCTAGGACCTTGCATTTGCCAGGCAGGCAGTGGCACCACTGAGCTAAATCCCCAGCCCAAAATTACCTGAAATTGTAGGCACAAGTTTGTGTGTGTGTTGGAAGGTATCTGCTGGCAAGAGAGTCTGTAGCTTTGGTCAGATTCTCAAGAGTAAAGGACATAAAAAATTTGCCATTGCTGCAGCAGGAAGTTTAAATTCCTCAATAATAACAGCTATCATCACTTCTAGGCCTTTTGGCTAAGATCAAGTATAATAATAACAGCTATCATATATTAAGCTCTTAGTATGTGTATGTGCCAGACACTGAGTTAATAAGCCTTTATAGTCACATCTTTTTAGGTCTCACAACAGCCCTTTGAGGTGAATACTGTTACTGTCCCCATTTTACAGATGAAAACATGAGGGCTGAAGTTCTTTCCACAGTCACAGTAAAACAAAGACTTAAGGGCAAGACTGTTCTTCATTTAACATCTTCACTGTCCTCAAATAGCATTGCCTCTCCCTACAAACAGTCAAAGGCCTCAAGAGTTTATCCTGAGTCTACTTTCCTAGTCTTACCCTCTTTTCATCATTTCTTTAATCCTTTGTTCCAGCCAGACAGAGTCCTTTGGTATCCCAGCTCTGCTGATTTTTGGTTCTGCTTTCATCTGAACCTTTTACTTGAGTGGTTGTATACTCTTGCTCTCTGCCTGTCCCATCCTTTTGCCCTCCTTCCACATTCACCTCCATCACCACTCTTGGGCAGCATACCACAGTCCTATTCCTCAGAACTCTGGCCCCAACTCTAATTCTTTCACTTTGACCATAGCCTCATATACTGGGTGTCACCTCTCCTATGTTGACTTGAACTCTTTTTAATTTTTCTCCCTAATTCAAAGTGGGATGACTAGTATTTCAGGAATGCTCACCAACTGTCTAGCTCTGCCAGATATCTCTCTTGTGTTGTCTTAACACCTTTCAATGGAATTAGGTAGACTATTTGCCAATTATGGGTCAAGATTCTGAGTCTTAGAAAGTTGGAGTAACTCAACATCTGTGCCTTCAGATTCGAAGCCAGGGCTTTCTAAAACCAGTGCTGGTTTTGCCTACCACATGCTGCTACCTGAGCACTCCCACCCTTATTCACTGGACACAGATCAAGCAAGAGGTGATAGTCAGTTACTTTATTTTCCTTTTTCATGTAACAGAAGCTGTGCTTTGTGAGAATTTCAGGGACTACTATTGTCTGGTTTACACTATCCAGTAAGTTAGCTGATAGCCTCATGTAGCTTTAAGTTAATTGAAATTGAATAAAACATTCAGTTGTTTGCACTAACCATATTTCAGATGCTTAGTATTGACATGTGGCTAGTGACTTTCTATTTGGACAGAACAGATAAAAAATTTCCATCATCACAAAAATGGTGCTGTCACAGAACCAAAATGACCAGATTAAAAGCAAATATGATGCCAGGGATTTAGCTCAGTGGTTCTGCCACCTGCCTCGCAAGTGCAAGGTCCTGAGTTTGATTCCCAGTATCAAAAAAAAAAAAAAATTAAAAGAAGATATGATTTAATAAAGAACTTTTGTGATACTTCAGGTTGCCAGAGTGGCCTGGAGTATAGAATTGTATTGCCTAAAACTGTCTCAGACATTTTGAAAGTTGTGAAGCCCATAGGACAATGGATTCTGAAATTAGTAATATCCCCGAGACAGTGCTATAAGGTGACTGACTCTCTCAAAGCATTACATCAAGGCAGTGGTTCTTAAACTTGAGGCTGTCTCAAAATGACCTTTAGGGCCTCTTAAAACTGGGTTGCTGGGCACCCCTGCTAGAGTTTCTGAAGGTATACCTTGAGGATTTGCATTTCTCAAAGGTTCACGGGTATCACTGATACTCCTGATCTGAGGACTATACTTCAAAAAATGTTGCTCATGAATAGTTTTTAAATGTACGGCAGCATGCAAATGGCTCTACTTGCATCAGTACCCCAACTGTACACAGAAAGGCTTGGAGGCTAGTGCTGAGACTGCCTGCATTTACATGTGAGAAAATGAAGCCTTAGAGAATTTAACTAGCATGCCCGAGATCCCAGGGTAGGAGACACAGTTGGAGTTGACACCACATAGGTACATGTGAGAATCCGCATGTATAGGTTTTGTGGGGGAAGGAAAAAAATACATAGCCAGAGTAGTTTGCTCAAGCAGATGTACATGTATATATAGAAAAGAGTTTAGCAACAAGGTGATTGCTTTTTCCATGGATACTCATCATTCAAAGACTTTAGCTAGAAAACTCTCCCTAGGAAGATGAATAAGTAGAATTAACCTCTCTGTGGGCTAGTACAAATGTCATCAATTAGATCCTTTTGAACTATATTATATCCAGCTCAAGGAATGCCCAGGATGTTGTCCTCTAACTCAAGTAGGGACTGTGTCTTCCTGTTGCTAGTTGATGGAAATCCATAGCTTCTCTTGTCTCCTGCTTATCTCCTTGCAATAAATCTTCAGGACTGAGCTGGAACATTTTTACTAGTAAATAATTTCTTCCTCTTTGGCCTCAGGAAACCTGTTCCACTACCACCTGTTTTGTAGCAAAGCTGCTTTTTCCCCTCAGAAATACAGAAATGTTTTCATCTTTACAAAATGTATATCTAATAGTCCTTGAAAAATTAAACTTATTCCTTAAAAACAGGTCTAAACTAGGAAGAAGGTGCCAGTGTACGAATGTTAGAAGAGGGAATAAACTGTGCTCATACCTTTGTTTATTGTGCCCTCTGTACCAGATCCTGTACTACATGGCACTCTTTTCCCATAAATATTAATAAATATCTTTTCTTGGCTGGCCTTTAGCAGAAGTAGACAGGGGCCTTCTCTTCTTTAGTTCTGCCACCCCCATATTCATTGCATTTACATTTCTTGTCTTTCCTTCCGTGTGTGACTCTTGTCTCTGCATTTGCACATGTGGCTTTCCTGAAATGTTGTATTCATGCCCTCTCCCCTCCAGCCCCACCACCCTTTACCACCTGATTCCCTATCTTCCAGTTCTTTGGTACTAGTTAAAATGTGGTATTTTTCTGGGAAGTCTTTCTTGACATTCCCCCCCTCAGAACAAAAGGCTATCTACTTACAAAGCCCCTGGACTTTCTCTCTCACGTGGGATTTAGTGAATGATTGTTTAGCCCATCTGTGCCACTAACTATAAGAACTGGGTCCAGTTATGTTTACAGCCCCAGTATCCAGTGTAATGTCTAGCATATAGGCGTTCCATCAGTATTTGAGAATTAAATGATAAAATTGCTGGTAAGGACTGTAATTAGTTTTTAAAGTAATAAAGGCCCCATTACCCCACTTCTTGGACAGCTTAAATTAGATTCCATTTACCTCACAATAGCATTTTCTAATTTAGTCTTAATCCTGTATGACCTTGCAGAAATAAATGCTACATTTTTTTGCATCTAAACTTGTGGTGGGGGGGGTCAGCCCACTTCCAAATATATCCTCTTCTCACCCCACCAAGAAAAAAATCTAGTTCCAGTGTCCTTAGCTTAGCAGCAGATGATGGGGATTACCTTTCTTAAACTCTCCCCAAAATCATTTTATTTGTTTCTTTTTCTCCAGTGATAATAGAGTAACATCCTTCAGAGACCTTATTCAAGACCAAGATGAAGATGAGGAGGAGGAAGAGGGCCAGAGGTAAGTATTTGATGGGAGGGCAGAGCTCACAAGAAGTTTACAATAATGCATGAATCACTTAGACCAGAACACAACACATGCTTGGTTATTTACTGTTGCTTATATCCAAGAACATCACCTACTTGCTGTAGCTTAGAAGTCATCTCTGTCTCCTGCTACTTTTTTTTTTTTTTTCTTTTGTGGTATTCTGGGTTTGGTTTGGTTTGGTTGTTAGATTATAAAAACAGTATATATATTTTTGAGGAATGTTAGAAGGAGAGAAACAAACTGGTAAGAAGAAAAATTCATTTATAATGTCACAGTCCAGATACAACTATGTATCAATATTTTTAGTCTATTTCTTTGTAGCTTTTTCTTTTTATAGGAAAAAGGAATACACAAGTAATAGAGGCTTATAGATGTATATTCTCACAACCCTGTTACATACCACAACCACACATACATACCCTGTTTTTAAATTTTAGGAATGTTATAGTAAAGTTAATTTGCATTATAGGAAATACGGGCTAGTGTAATGAAAAAGTATTAATTTATCCTTTGATAATATAGTTAATATTTTTGTATATGATTCAGTCTTTGTTCTGTATAAGTATACTTCATATTATATTTTACACAATGAAGGTCAGACAATTTTGCTTTTCTTTTGTTGAATTAATGATAGGTCTTAAAAAATTCTCCATATCATTGAAATTCTTCATAAGCATTTTTAGGGCCTATAATGACTCATATGAAATGTTCAACATTTTGGTTGTTTCTAGTTTTTTACTACATCAGTGCTGTAGACATCATTTTGTATTACTCTTTGGTGACATTTCAGGTTATTTTCTTGCAATAGTTACTAGAAATGAAAATATCAGATCAAGGGCATGAATATTTTTAAGACTTTTGATCACAGCTTCCCAGCTTTGTTTGTTTGTTTGTTTAGTTTATTGGTACTTTTTAGGTGTGCAGTACAGTTACATTCAACATTGGGATCTTATACCTTTATATGACAGGCCTTGTTCTCATTTTTTTCCCCTACCCCTGCCCTCCCTTTACCCCCTCCACCCTTCCCTATTTACAAAAATTTTGTTTCCATTTTTTCCTTTTCTCATATTTTTTCTTTTCCCTTATTTCCTTTCCTCTACCCTTCCCACTTCCCTTATACCTTTAGCCCTTTTCTTCCTATTTCACATTGCCAATAATAACCATTTGGATCTTATTTACACTTTTAATTTTTCACACCAGAGAAACTATTTGGTATTTACACACGTGTCTTATTTATTTCTCTTAAGAATGTAAGAATATAAGAATATGGCCTCAATATACATTCATTTTCCTATGAGTGACTCTAGTTTCTCATTCTTTATGGCTGAGTAGTATTCCATTTTGTAGAAAAACCGCAGCTTCTTTATCCAGTCTGTAACTGATGGGCAATTGGGTTGTTTCCAAGTTTTAGCTATTATACACTGTGCCACTGTAAACATGGGTATGTATATATCAGTGTGGTATGATTCTTTTAATTCTTTTGGAAATATACCCAGCAGAGGGATAACTGGGTCAAATGGGACCTCTAATCCTAGTTCTTTGAGGTATCTCCATATTGATTTCCACAGTGGTTGCACCAGTCTGCACTCCCACCAACAATGGAGAAGCGTTCTTTTCTCCCCACAACCCAGCCAACCTTTGTTATTGGTTGATTTATTGATAGCAGCCATTTTTTCTGGGGTCAGCCTCCCAGCTCTTAAGCCAAGGCTTGGAGATTCCTTAATAAGGACCTTGAAGACCACTGAGCAGAAACTTATCTACATAAATTAAACAAGAATGAACTGGCAATAGCTACATGTCATTAGTTTTAGTTCCTTATCAGTCTTCCTCAGCCTGTTGAATGTTCTTAAGGAACATTATATAATAACTCATGGAAATGCAGCTACCTCACAATGATGTCTTTGGGAGGTGAACATAGAAATTACGTTTGTTTGCTGGGGGAGTTGTTTGCCTTATTTTATTTTTGGTTTTTTGTTTTGTTTTGAGTTTTTGTTTTGCTTTTGAGACAGGGTCTTGCTGTGTAATTCAGGCTAGCCTCGATCCTCCTGCCTCAGCCTCCCAAGTGCTGGGATTATATGTGTATCCCACCGCACCCAGCCCTTGTTTGCTGTTCATTTTGTGACCTTTACACTACCTCAGAACCTTCCTTCTACATATATTCATGGTTCAGGAATATGTGTTATTGCCAGAGTTTTACATTCCTTGATGTAATATCTAGTTCGTGAATGCCCAGCCTCTTCCACCTCCTGCCCAGTCATAACCTCCAAACTGTAACCTTCCATTATTCATATGCCCACAACTTTCTTGGCATCTCAGTATTTAGAACCTGAAACAACACTGTTATCTTTTCCCTACCAAGGCCTGTGCTTTGCCTCACATTCCATCATGAATGCCAGGATTAAGAGCTGAGAATAATTTATACTAGTCTTCATGTCCGAATTTGAGGACATGCTATTGCTTAATTTTGAATAGGAGTTATAAGGAAGCAGCTACAAGAGAACTGGTTTTCAGGTTAAGGTAAAAAAAAAAAAAAAAAATGCAATCTGAAGCCAGCCTTCACCCATTATAAAACCTGATGTGGATATCTTGGAGCTTGTATTTGAGATTGGAGTTTCACCAGCCTTCTCCAGTATCATCTCAGGGCCCCCAAAGTATGTCACAAGGATGGCAAGGTGCGGTGAGTCTTGGGGGAGCTCTTGGTGCTGTGCCACACACCACCTCACATATGTGCTTTACTTTGCTTGTTCTTTTGCATACATCTGCTGATTTGAATCTCACGGCCCTGACTTAAGGAGCAGGTAGGTAGGGCATGTGGTCCCTCCCTCCCATTTCAAAGACGAGGACAGTGTACAGAACAGTGCACTAGTATATCCAGATCACACAGTGGCAGAGCCAGGACTGGAGCCCAGCTGCTTGTACTAACCATGCAACAGCCACCATTAACTCACAGCTACTGAAACTAGCAGCTTCTGACTAGAATCATATTCACTGTCTCAGAGAGGCACTGGCATGCAGATGGACAATCCCAGTTCTGATGCCCTCCTGCGCTGACATGCTCTTGTGCGTGACTGGAATGCCCTTCCCCAATCTGTTCAATTGATAACCTCATCCTCAAGACTCAGCCCAGAGACACATTCCTAGGAGACCTTGGCTGTCCTCCCCAGCTCATTGTGCCCAGAGCCTTGTGCCCAGAGCCCTGTTACTGTATTCATGGCTTCTCACATTGCATTGTACTGCCTGCCTTCTTACATGTCTCCACAAGTAGCCAGTAAGTTCTTTAAAGATAATGCATTGTATCCTTTGCTTCACTGTGTCCAGAACCAGTGGCATACTTTGTTTTCTGTGTGCATTTGGTGTTAGAAGTATGTTTTCTACACAGGTTTTATGCTGGGGGCTCAGAGAGAAGTGGACAGCAGATTGTTGGCCCTCCCAGGAAGAAAAGTCCCAACGAGCTGGTGGATGATCTCTTTAAAGGTGCTAAGGAACACGGAGCTGTAGCTGTGGAACGAGTGACCAAGAGCCCTGGAGAGACCAGTAAACCAAGAGTGAGCATTAAGGGTCATTGCCTGTGCCTGTAGTGCTCAGGTTCCACAGTGGAGAATGGGGCCTCTTCTACTCCACTGGTGACTGTTTTTCACTTGCTCACTTGGTCACCTATGCACAAGACTAGTGTAGTTTCTCTTATCCATTAACATGAAACCATGATTGGGGACAGAGTTCTCAAATCCAGACCTATATCCTAGATGCTAAATCTGAGTTTCTGTCTTTGGAAATCAGAAAGTCTTTGATATTAATCCTGCATCCAAATTTTTATATGCCGTATTTAAATTTTACTAGCAACTGTTCCCTTTAGGTGGGCATATTATGTCTTCCAGGTTTCACTGCCATCTTGGCCACTTGATTTATTTACCTTGTTGCCTGACCTTATGAGCTCTGAGTTTGATACTCAGAGAAAGCACATCTAAGTAGTTAACAAGCTTGATCAGGATCCCTGTCCCTTTATTTACCTAAGATGCATCATTGTATCTGAGTTACCTCAGCATCAAATGTTTGTGAACTTGTCTTTTAAAGCCCTTTGCAGGAGGTGGCTACCGTCTTGGGGCAGCACCAGAGGAAGAGTCTGCTTATGTGGCAGGAGAAAGGAGGCAGCATTCCAGCCAGGATGTGAGTGTACTTCTGCCTTCTTTGTGGAAGCTTGTGGATTGTTTGTTCCATCCCTTTTTCAGAAGGTGTTGATCACATGTGGTACATGAACCAGCAATCTGTATAAGAAGGGTCTGTAGAAACATTGCCCTTGCTGTGATCTGAACCGGGGACCTTACAGGGAAATTAGAGGCATCTTTCATCTCCCTGGGAGAAGGTACAAGGGAAGGTTTCTCAGTGTCCCATGAATCTCAGGCAGAAAGGCACAGTATATCTGGATTCTCTAGTGATGTGGGCATAGCTGAAGAATTTGCTCTCAGACCAACAGAAAAGGCCTGAAACACAACCTTTTTAGTTTTCTTTATTATTGTCTAGTACTTCTTCCATACTTTGTGACCATTTATTTGTTTTTTGTTTTGGTACCAGGGATCAAACATGGGTCCTTGCTCTTGCGAGGCAGGCGGCTAAACCACTGAGCCAAATCCCCGGCCCTTGACCATTTATTTGTATAACATTATATGTTTTTAAATTACTTTGGGTTTTATTCGAGAGTAAAGTCAAGCAAGAAAAAAATAAAAATCCTGTCTACTTGTGGCAGCAGTTACAAATGCATTAACTTTTAGCCTTCTTTTTTAATTTCTTTTCTTATTAGTACATGTTTGTAGTACATGATTACGTTTCTTGTGGGGAGTTAGTACATGTACATAGCACATCTCAGTTCTTTTTTTTTCTTGGTTTGTACTTTACCTCAAATGAGAAAAACTATATGGTATTTAAGCTTATGTGTCTGATTTGTTTCACTTTATATTTTCTAGGTTCATTCGTTTTCCTACAAATGTCTCAAATTTGTCACTATAGCCCATTACTATTCCATTATATATAGATACCACTTTTTGTTTATCCAGTCATCTGTTGATGGTTATGCAGGTTGCTTCCATGATTTAGCTATTATTAATTGTGCTGCTATAAACATTGGTATGCAAGTGCTGCTGCAATATTACTTAAGTTCTTTGGCTAAGATACCTAGCAAGGAGATAACTGGGTCATATGGAATTTCTAATGTCAGTTCTTTGAAAAATTGCGATACTGACTTTCATAATAGTTGTATTAGTTTACATCACCACATCCACACCAGCATTTGTTATTGTTGATTTCCTAGTGATTGCCATTCTGTCAGGAGTAAGATGGAATCTTAGGGTTGTTTTAATTTGCATTATTTGTGTAATGGCCAGAGATGTTGAACATTTTTTAATATATCTGTTGACCATTTTTATTTTTTCCTCTATGAAGTTTCTGTTCATTTCTTTTGTCCATTTCTTGACTGGATTTTAGGTGGTTTAATTTTTTTGTGTTCTTTTCATTTTGTAGCTATTAGTCCTCTGAGGAGTAGCTAGCAGAAGGTTTTTAGTCTGATATAATCCCATTTGTTGATTCTTGCTGCTATTTTATCTTCCAGGTTTAATGTTTCTGCTTTTGGGGGTTTTCTTTAATCCCATTCCTGCCCTCCCCTTATATCCCACCCCATCCCTATGTATAAAAGCTTTGTTTCCATTTTTTTCCTTCTATATTCACTGTTTTTTCTTGTCCCTTCCTTCCTTTCTTCCTCTCTCCTCCCTGTTCCCCTTCCCATTTCACAATATCTATTATACATTTTAATCCTTATTTCCACTTTCATTTTCTCACACCAGAGAAACAATGCAGTATCTAAACCTGTGTGTCCAATTTATTTCACTTAGGAGTATGGTCTCAAGGTCTATCCATTTAGCTATAAATGGCTGAAGCCCATCTTTCTTTGTGGCAGAGTAGTACTCTTATGTTTTCTGTTTTAATGTTTAGATCTTTGATCCATTTTTATTTCAATTTAGTATATGGTAAGAGATAAGGGTCCAGTTTTATTTTTCTGCACACAGATAACCACTTGTGAAATAGGCTATCTTTCCTCCGATATATACTTTTGGCCTCTTTGTCAAAGATCAGATGGTTGAATGTGTCTAGTTTGGTTTCTGTATCCTTGATTCTATTCCATTGATCCACGTGTTCTTGTTCCATTATCATGCCATTTTTATCATAATTGTTTGTAATAAAGTTTGAAGTCAGGTGTTACTATGCTGCTTGTTTTGCTCTTATTGCCCACAGTTACTTTTACAAATCTGAATCTCTTCTGGTTCCATATGAATTTTAGGATGGTTTTCTCTGCATCTATAAAGTATGCTATTGTTATTTTGATTGGAACTGGATTGAATCTATGTAACAATTTTGGAAGTTGGCTATTTTAGCAATATTGGTTCTGTCTATCCAGGAACAGGGGACATCTTTCGATTTTCTGATGTTCTCTCCAATCTTTCTTCAGGGTGCTGTAGTTTTCTTTGTAGAGAAGTCTTTCACTTCCTTGGTTAGATTGATTCCTAGATATTTCATTTTTCTTTTTTTTTTATCACAGTAACATAGTTGTTTATTATTAACAAGGATTATGTACTATCCATAACTGGATTGCTATACTTTTATCCAGCTGGCAGTGCAATAGATTTGTTTATGTGTTTACATTTGTTTGCATAAACACATGAATGATGTGTGGTACTATGTGTTTTGTTTTTCTTGATACTGTGAATGGCACTGTTTTCACAATTTCCTTTTCATCCTGTCCATTGTTGGTATACACAAATGCTAATGATTTTTGTGTGTTGTTCTTGTATCCTGCTACTTTGCTGAAGTTTGTTATTCTAAGAGTTTTTTGGTGGAGATTTTTGGGTCTTTGTATCATGTCATCAGCAAATTATGACAATTTGAGTTCTTCCTTTTATTAGGTACACCTGTCATTTCTTTCTCCTGCCTAGTTTCTCTAGCTAATGTTTCAAGTACTATGTTGAATAGAAGAGATGATAGTGGACATCCTCCTCTTGTTCTGATTTTAGAGAGAATGCTTTTAGCTTTTCCACATTTAGTATAATACAATCAAGCTTATTTGTTATTAAAAATGAGCAACTTAAAATTTTTCTTAATGTCAGTAGAAATTTAATTTTTGTTTTCTTTATATTTCATTTTTTAAATGGCCTGTGTTTTATTTTTTTATTAGTGTTTATACGATATGTTTACAATATTGTGGAGCTTTTAGCCTTCTTAAATCTTGTCTTTTTGACCTTTTCTTTTTTGTTTTGTTTTTTTTTTTCCTTGTCTTTTCAGTACTGGGAATTAAACCCTGGGGCTAGGGCTATACATCTCCAGCCCCTTTTTTTTAAGACAAAGTTGCTAATTATTGCCCAGTATTACCCAGGCTGGGATCCAAATTGCATTCCTCCTGCCTTGGCCTCCAGAGTGCTGGAATTACAGATGTGTGCCACCACACTTGAGTCTGTCCCTTTTCAGGGAATGTATATAGGAATTGTTGCTGACAGAAATTATAGGTACCATTTTAGGGTTTTTGTTTTGTTTTGTTTTGTTTTTGAGGCAGAGTCTCATTATCTTTTATAGGTTGGTCTCAAACTCCTGGGCTCAAGTGATCCTCCTACCATAGCCTCCCCAGTAGCTGGGACTACAGACACATTACCATACCCAGCTGTAGATAACATTTTTAATAACTACAAAATAGTCACGAATAAATGAGTTAGAACACTAGCTACATACCAGACACACTTGCAACCATATAGATTAAGGAAAATATAGCTTCAATTGAGTTACCTGCTCAGAGCTACCTTGCTTATGAGTGGCAATAACAAGATGCAAACCGAAGTCTCCTTAAAACACTGTCCATGCTCCTAACATGCCATATCACCTTCCTGTTTTAGGTTAATGCATTCTTGGTTGATTGTTAATTGATTTCCCTTTGCATGAATGTGTGTATATGTATGTCTGCTTGTGGTTTAATAATGACAGCATGGTAAAATAGTAAAAACTCACTAATTTGCAGGTTCAAGTTGGTGTGTTTTCCAGGTTTGTGGCTCTATTAACTGCTTGCCTCTTATTGTCATAGGTTCATGTTGTGCTGAAGCTCTGGAAAAGTGGATTCAGCCTGGACAATGGCGAGCTCAGAAGCTACCAAGACCCATCCAATGCACAGTTTCTGGAGTCAATCCGCAGAGGGTGAGCAGACAAGTTCTCTCTCAATCCCAAATTAGTGGATGAGATGCCAAGTTAGAAAGGAGGAGGTAGAGCATTTTGTTATTTGAGAAATAAAAATTTTGAAACAAATTTAGCACAGTTGTGATACAGATTTACAGATCTACACCAAAAACTGTATTCATTTTTCACCTTTTAATCTGGGCAGAGCTAAGTGGTCAAATAAGAAATAGGTGTCTGCAACTGCATAAAGAAGATGTGGTTTTTCTATAAAATGGAATATTACTCAGCCATAAAGAATGAGAAAATAGATTCATTCATAGGAAAATGGATACATATTGAAGATATACTCCTAAGTGAAATAAATAAGGCACACATGTGTAAATACCAAATAGTTTCTCTGGTGTGAATAATCTGCAATAATACAGAAGATCCTAATAAGATTACTGACACTGAGAAATGGGAAGAAAGGAGCTAAAGGTGTAGGGAAGGTGGGACGGGTAGGGGAAGGGTAAAAAGGGAAAAGAAAAAAATGTGAGATAATGAAAAGATGGAAATAAAGTGGTTGTAGATGGGGAGGGGAGGAGGAGGTGAAAGGAGGGCAGGGACAAGAGGAAAAAATGAGAACCAAGACTTATCATGTAGAGGTACAAGATCCCAACAATGAATGTAACTGTACTGTATCCCTAAAATGTACCAATAAACTCAAAGCTGAAAAAAAAAGAAAAGAAATAAGTGTCTGCCATATCTGAGCAAGCAGAAGAGAAAGTGGAGGCAGCCACTGCAGTAGCCAGCTCCTAGTAGTTTTCACCATTGGAACTGAGAAGTCTCTTCTCTCACCCCATCACTGGCCAATGTCCTGCTTTCTGTGAATCCAGCATTGCCTTTTCCCTTGCAGGGAGGTGCCAGCAGAGCTGCGGAGGTTAGCTCATGGTGGGCAGGTGAACTTGGATATGGAGGACCATCGGGATGAGGACTTTGTGAAGCCCAAGGGAGCTTTCAAAGCTTTCACTGGTGAAGGCCAGAAACTTGGCAGGTAAGAAGCAGCACCATTGAACCCCAGATTATCAGTCCCACTAGACAGGCCCCATAGACCTTGTGTCCTCACTAGGGATACTTGTTGACAAAATAGTTCAGATTTTATTTCTATGGGAAGGATGTGAACTTTGGAGTTAAAAGACTCAAGGTAAAGACCCTCCTTCATTTTGTAGTTTTGTGACCTCAGACTTGACAGTCTCAGTTTCCTCAGCTATAAATTGGGACTAATGAGAGCCTCTACTTCCTATGATTGTTGTTGGAAAGAATAAAGGAACTGATACACATAGAGTACTGCCTTTGGTAAACAGTAACATAATTGGTGCTTGGCTCATTAATCAAAGGTGTTCAGGGAAGGTGTGAACTCCTTGATGACTTAAGGTCTAAATTGGTACTCAGAGGGATGAGAAATCTCAGAATTTCCCACCCAGCCCAGCCACCTAGTAGTATTCCTTAGGATCCTAGAAAGTCGAAGACACTTTTATGTGCAGGCACATGTTCCACCATTGTAGCAGCTGAGCTGCACTCATCTTTACACTTTAGTCCTGCCTGACGTTCTTTTCCTTTGGCTTTTTCTGCCTATATCCTTTGCCATTGTCCTCTCTTCTTACTTCCATCCCCTGTACCAAGTCACGCTTGTCTTGTATTCAAACTCCAACTGGATCTGATTGACTAATATTCACTGATAATCTGTGATGAACAGAGTTCTTCAGCACATCCTTGGCTAGCCTCGGGCAGGCTGCCTTCTCTCAAGAACCTTCTCTCAAGGCCATGACCATGGCCATTGACATCTTGTGTATTCTTCAGAGGGAACCATGTATGTGACAGGTACTCAACATTTTCCCCTTGCCAGGAAAGTCCAGATTTTAGAGGAGAAGCTGAGCCGGTTTGGGCTTGGAGCACTGCCCCTTGGCACATATGTGGTAGACTGGCAGAACCTGGGCTTTCTGACTGGCACTCCTGCCCTCAACATAGCCACTGACCTTGCTGTTCTCACCACCCCTTGCAGGGATTAATCTTTGGTCTGCCAGCAGATCGGACCTTTCTTCTTGTGGCTGATTCTCCAGGAATCTATCTCCTGCTTCCCTGTTAGCTATTTATGCCTCCTCAGAGCAAGGGTCAGAACTCAAGGCATAAGAGATCAGTGGAGTGTGACCATGTAACCAGTGTAGCTATCATCATTTCCCTTCCAATGGGGCTTGCTGGCTGGCCCAGAATGGCCATACTCAAAATGAGTGTCCCTGTCAGCTGCAGTGAGCTTTGTAGACACTTATTTTTTTGTTTGTTTGTTTGGTGGGGGGGGTTGTTTTGTAAATGTAAAATACTAGAAAAGTCAGATAAGAAATAAACTATTTCTAAACATAATACCCAGAAATATTCAGTTATTATCTGGAGAATATACCCTTCTAGTCTTGTGTGTGTGTGTGTGTGTGTTTGTAAACATGCTACTGTGTGTTTGGATACTTGTCCTTCGAAGGCCCATTGTTAAGAATCTTTGCCCCCAGCTTGGCACCACTGGGGGTATTGGAACCCTTGGAGCTAGGGCCTAGCATGACATACCTTTAAAGGGAATTGTGCATCCCTCCTCCTCTTTTCTTTTCTGCTTCCTGGCCATGAGGTAAGCAGTCTGCTGTGCCAGGCACTCCCCAGTATTATCATCTGGCGTGCCTACCAATGGACAGAAAGTAATAGGTCCGCCCTATTTTGCACTGGAACCTTCAAAACTGTGGGCCCAGATACACGTTTTAAAAGCCACTCAAGTATTTTGCTATAATGGTAGGCAGCTGACTAATGTACATGTTGTTTTATCCCCTGCTTTTTTAGTCAGTGAAGTATGGCTATCATTTCATATCAGTACATGTATTTTTACACTTTCATTTCTGTGCTTATGTGATTTTGTTTCTCATAGAAGTTCTGTAATTCACCAGTCCTTACTAAAATATATAAGCAAATTGCCAGTATTATTAACATTCCAGTGAATATTTCTATAATTAAATATCTGTATACCCTGTAATTTGGGCTAAAGGTAAAATTGCTGGCTCAGAAGATCATCATGTTTATAAAATGTTACCAGATTTCCCTCCAAAAACATGGTACTGGGTAACAGCATTTACCTCCACTCCAGTTATAAGGGAAGGTTCTGAACTCAGTCCTGCTGTGTAGCCCTCAAACTCATGATCCTCTTTCTTCTGCCTCCTGGTTGCTAGGGTTACAGGTGTGCACACTCATGCAAACAACTCTTTGTTTTACACAAAAGCACTGAAGCCCTACAAAGTGAACTTGCTCTCAAGGCCATAGTGCTAGTTAATGGTAGAGCTGGAACCAGGTGGCATGCAGTGCTGCTGAAAAGTTTCTGCACACTTACTATCCTTAGTAACAATGGGTGCCACATACTGGAGTGCCTATCCTAAAAGGTAGGAGTGGGTGGAGACAGGATCTCCATTTTCAAAGAAGGAAATGGAGACATCAAGACGGCTAGTAACATGCTAAGGATCACAAGTTCCTAACTGATAAGTACATTAGATTCCCCCAGGAGCAGGGGAGAAGACTGAGAAAGAATTTTCAATATAAGTATTAGTTCCATAAAGTAAACCATAGAAAGCAAAGCTTAACAAAGCCCTGCCTGGTGGGAATACATAGAATAATACATATGGGGAGAAAACTGTTGCATAAGTAAAATTTTTAGAACTGGTCCATAGCATTTGCTTCTCTTTTCTCATCTATAAAACAGATAATCCCTATCTGAAAGGGTGGTCATGATTCAAAGAGGCTATATAGAAAGCCTTCTAGGCAACACTGGAACAAAGTAGAGTAGATGTTACACCTATTTTTCCCCTCCTTCATCCTACCTGAACAGATATTAGCTTCTTGAAAATAACAGCTTCTTCCTCATTTTAGGTCTTACTGAAACTGTCATCCCTTTCTGGTAGGCAGTAGCTTCATTAAATACCTGTTACATACTTGGAATTTTAATAAACAGTTAAGGGATCAGATTCCTGTAGTATATTTGAAGAGTTGAACTAATGTCCGTAAATCTAGTAAACAAAGCAGTATTAGCTGTAAGACATTTACACGTGTAGTCTGTAACTTTCCACTATTTTCAAACTCTAGAGGCTGTGATCACATAATTTATCTGTGTATGCCAGCCCACATTTGAGTCCTACTTGGTATGATGCTGATGTACCAAGCAGCTTCTCTTGTAACACACAAATGTGACCCTCATTCTCTATTTCCTAATACCCTAAGATCTTATTACTCACTTTCACAGAAAAGGATACTTACTTTGCTTTTATGCATTCTAAACAGCATTTCACAAACTGGGATCCATAAAATACACTTTTGCCAGGACACTAACAAGTGTAAAGGGCAGGCTCTGGTTGTTGACTAAGTTTGCCTTCACTGCATAATCTCTTGAGACCTTTAATAATCTTTAGTGCCCTTTGCTGCTGCTAAAAGTGACATTTCTCAAACCTCTCTGGAGATGTCTCAGGGAACTAGGGTCCTATGAAACACACTTCGGAGAATATGTTCAGTTCAATTTGCTACAAATACCCTTTTTAGGCCATAAAAATCAGGGGAAGGATGAGGCAGAGAAAATGATAAAATTAGAGGCTTTGGGGGAAAGTCAGCAAACTGTTTAATAGCCCCTGTCTATAAAAGTCTAGGCCAGGTAAGAATGAGACAAGTGGGTGTTTGAAAAGAGAGAATGTTGCAAACTGTTGTAAATTGGGAATTGTGTGCATTTTGTGTTTGTCCACCACCCCAAGTACTACTCCTTTAACCCTTAAAAAAGCTGAGTGAGGTGGGTGGGCAACCTTAACCCTGTTAAACGTCCTTGTTACTACCCTTGGTAAAACTATGTGAACCTGAATGATTTGTATAAAAGGTCACATGGAAGTCACACAGTCTTGGCCCATATCATTCTAAAATTGAGCTCTAACCACTGGCAGACTCCGTATCCTCTTCACTGTATGAATCCCTATTCTACCTGGCCTTTGGCCTTCAGGAAGTCTTGCCGTCACTCCCCCGCCCACCCACACACGCATAGTTGATACATGAATATGAGACATTCCCATGAGTGCATGGGGATGTAGTTCGGAAAAATCCACCACAACAAGTTGCCTGCCAAGTTGTGCCCAGACTTCTCAACTGTAAATTTGAAGTGCTCCCCTCAGTACTTCATAGAATGTGACAGTCTTGCTCTTAGGTGCTACAGTCTTGTTCCCTGTCTCTCTAGCCTCACACTTCCTGCTTACAATCCATGCTCAGGTAAGCACATGAGGAAGAAGATTAAGTCCCTGACCCAGAACTCAGGAAGTGAGCAGCCATACTTGGGGTCTGAAGTAAACTCTTCAGGACCTTTGAATCCCAGAAGGGCAGGGATTCAGTAAGTCCTGATCATTGCGTTAGCAACACCAGACACAGGCGAGGCACACAGCAGATGCTCAGTGTGAAGGGATTCCCTGCTGCCAACTGTAACGTTCTCTTTCCTCAGCACGGCCCCCCAGGTATTGAGTACCAGCTCTCCAGCCCAGCAGGCGGAAAATGAAGCCAAAGCCAGCTCTTCTGTCTTAATCGATGCATCAGAGCCTACTACCAACATCCAAATTCGACTTGCCGATGGTGGGAGACTGGTACAGAAATTTAACCACAGCCACAGGTACCTTGCATCATCTGGCCTAGGTTTCCTAGTAGTATCTGAGACATTTGCACACCTATAGGTCCTCCGTCCTTCCAGAAGGAAGACAGAGAGTTTGCAAGTTAGGTGCCTTTGAGTCCTGTTTCCACACTCTGTTAGCATGACCAAGGACTTCTCACATCTCTCCTGTGGTCCCCTTGGTTTTTTAAACCACTAGACTTTCTGTTCAAAGGCAGTCTTTTGCTAAAGCCTAGATACAAGAGGTCAAATTAGAACTGCTGTGGTTTAAGGCACCACAAGAAGAGACTAATGGGAGAGGTGCTGGAGCATTGTCACTAGTAAAGATACTTGACAACTCCTTTGTCTAGAACAAGGGTGTTTAGCCAGTAAACACCTGTGGGACCAGTGAATGGTTTGGCACTCCTTAAGTGTTGACCAGGTTCACCATAAAGGTGTATATCAAGCCACTAGTGTGAGCCTTGCTCAGACTTCTCCCTGAGATGGAGTGACCTGTAGTTACTCATTTCAGTTTCACTTCTCTCAACAACCCCAGCAGGAATGTTGCTCAGCCTCAGACTGCATGCATTTTGCACAAGGACCACACTGTAGATGGCATAGGTCTCAGAGCTTGCAAGCAGAAGGAAACATTCTGTTGAAGGAGTCTAGGGACAGTTGCTTCCAGGTGACTCCATTCTCATGATTAGCAGAGTCAGGGCATAAGCAGTGTCGAGAGAGGGTTATTCTTGAGGAATTAGTGATAATTTGAGTGCCTCCTGGGACAGAAAAAAGGACATGTCTGCCCCTGTGGAATTTGTGGTCCATAAGGGGAGGCAATCCCAGAATTGTGTGCTTACAAACTTGATCAGTGCCACAAAAAGGATGTCTGTACCAGAAGCAGGGTAAGACTTCAGAGGAAGTGGCATTCCAGCTTGAGATGTGGTTAGGATTATGGAAGGGGGAGGCAGGAGAGTGGAAAGAGGGACCCAAATGGGGAAGGAAGTGTAGCTTAATGGGAATTAAAAGGAGGGAGAAGAGAATGAAGGGAAGGGGTGCGAAATTAGATAGGCCTTAGGACCACAGTAAGGAAAATAGAGATTTCAGCAGGGGAAGGACTGGCCTGATGTGCTTGCATATGATGGCCTTGGCTATTCATGGTGAAACTGGACAAGGAAGAGATTCATGTTCATCCTTCCAAGGGTGGGGGTTGTGGGCATCAGAGATGGAACTGCTCACCCGCTCTCACTCCCTCAGGATCAGCGACATCCGACTTTTCATCGTGGATGCCCGGCCAGCCATGGCTGCCACCAGCTTTGTCCTCATGACTACCTTTCCGAACAAAGAGCTGGCTGATGAGAGCCAAACACTGAAGGAAGCCAACCTACTCAATGCTGTCATCGTGCAGCGGTTAACATAACCGCTCAGCCTTGGACCATCTCCTTCCTGTTTCTCTTGAAGTTGGCAGCCATGCCCCATGGGGATCACCCCTCCTGCCCCTGTGCATACCCAGCGCTCCAGTGCCGCGTCTCCTCTATAGCTCTGGGTTCCTAGATTTTGGTTGGACATTTGTTTTTTCCTTAGTTGCATTTCCTAGGTTTTTGTGAGGATCAATGGACTTTCAAGGAAAAAAATAAAAAAACCAAAAAAAAAAAAAAAAAAAGGGAAAAATGGAAGAAACATCACCAGCATGTGTATGGAAACTTTCCCCCTGGAATAGACCTTAATTGCCATAAAATGTTATTTATCTTGGGAGCATGGCAGGAACCTTTTTCCATTCTCTGCACAAAAATAACTGGCACACACAATACTTATTCACTAGCATGTCCCTTCTGCCACCCCCAAAAGTATGGAGGATGGAGGATTCTCCCTTTATAGGGAAGGAAGAAGAGATATATGGAAAGAGGCTCTGCAGCCACTTGTTCCCATATGAATATATCAGCCCAATACAAATTACAGTGGCAAAAGTTCCCTAAAGTTTGAGGTCAGAGCTGGATGCATCCAACCACTTTGGGTGAAAATAAATACCTCTCCACATAGCCTTCACTCGGCCCTGCCTGGGAAATCCATACTCCCAGGCCATAGCCACTGAAGTTCTACTAGACCTTCCTAGCCCTTTGCCCTCCCACCATCCAAGGCTACTCCCTAGTGATTCTTGGTTGCTATCACTACTTCATTCGATGTGCAGAAGTCTAAGGGGACCTGAGAGGTAGGTGGGGTGTGTCTTCATTGGGGTACAGTTCATGCCGACCCAGATGAGTTCAGTCAGGGGATCTTGGCTTAAGAGAGCAAGAAGTCAGTGCTACTAAACTGCTCACTGATAGTGTGTGGCACATAAGATGCTGAAGGGGTGGGTACTTCCCTGTGCTGCGGGTGCCTTTGATTGTGTTGGTGTTTGTGAGACTGGTAAGATTGAGTATAAGGCCAGAATGTAGCTTTTGGTCGGAAGTTTCCCTTCACAGCTCTGCTCTACTGCTTGTAACGCAGCGGTCAAGGTTGTAGTCAGAGCCAGGTTAAGACCCTCCATACCCCTACGTTTGCTTCTTTGCAAGGCATCTGAGGAAGGCCCTTTGTGTTTGTGTGGATCCTCTCCTATCACTGTACTAAATGAGCCACAGATTCATCCTGGTTTTAAGCTATACTGTACCTCAACCCTCTTTCTAAGTGGTCACCACCAGACACTTTTCCTGTTTCACCCCCTTGCTACAAGCCAGGAATCAGTGCTGTATCCACCTACAGCCATGAAAGGTGGTAGTTTCAACTCGGCTTGGTGCTTCGATCCCAAACTGGCGACAGCCTGCTAGGGCTGCAGGACCTGCCCCAGTGTTCTCTGTAGCAGGTGGCAGTAACTGGAAGCTAAATGCAGATCTTGAAAACAAAACTATTGTCACCTTGAGTGTTAAAAACCAAAATGAAGGCAGCAAAGTTTTGTAGTTTTTAATGAGTTGCTTGGAAATTCACAGCAGCTATCTTAAATGCTGTGGTGCTCCATGGAGGTTCCACATGACAGTGCAAGAGCCTAAGCCCAGGTCACAGTTGGTAAGTGGTATGTGGTGCTTGTCTTCTTTCAGATCCTATGTTCTAACCTGTGGCTAGGTAAATACACTCCACCCCCACCCCTAGGCCTTCCTCTGTTGCGGGAGGAAATTGATAAATGACACGTGGAGAAACGCAGAATGGAAGTAAACTAAGTTTATTTTGCTAGGAAAAGGTCGATTACAGCAAGAACAGTGCTAGAGATCAACCCCCCACTGGGTTACAGCTCCTCCTTTTATAGGGCTTTTACAGCCACGATCTCATTAAGGTGGTTACATTTCATTCTGAATTCACATTACCGATAGACAAATCATGGTCAGTTAACTTTCAACCCAGATATAGCAATTCTTTGTAGTTATGGGAGTTTATCTTTAAGATTTGCCTAGCTATCCTAACCCATAGGAAGTGGGTGTTTAGGGTCAGTAAAGCAAATGTTAATGCTTCTTTTCATCTTGATACTTAATAGTCCTGTGGTTTACAGAACTTCGGTGTTCAGGGTCTTGATGTGCCCTGTTATCTCAGGATGAGACCAGATGCCTCATTCAGCGGTTAATGCCTCCAATGTCTGTTAATTCTGAACTCAAAGCAAACTGCTGTTAGACAGCAGAAGCCATTTTACATTGTGACATTTTGTAGGTTTTGCTATTTACAAGAGTTTTCTCTGTCATCTCCACATACTTCCCTGCCCTTCCTCCGGCTTTCTGCTTATATTAATCAGTATATATCAGAAGAGCTAGAACACCCGGTTACACCTGCATCATTTAGAGTAGTTTGCAAAGGGCTCTTGAATTTCTGCTCACCTTGGGAAGGGGTCATCATGGACAGTCCCAGTGCCTGGCGTAAGATTAGAGGAATTGCATTGATCTGGCTCCAGGCTGAAAAAAGCTGTTTGCAACCCTATTCTTTTCTGGTGGCCTAGATGGGCTTTCATAGGATATTCAGCCACCAGTCTGAAATCATCTGAATTCAGGACAGTTCTCAACTGGAGGATTTTGGAACATCCCCAACATTAGTGAGTAAGGGAACCACCTGGTATTAAAGGGGCCTGGCCAAACAGTGCAATGAATGACTGGGGCATGTATTGATGGAAAGCTATCCCAAATTTATTATTGAAAAAGGTAAGTTAGCTGTCATGCCCTTTCTAACAAAGTGCAGCAACAATGCCAAACAAACCTGTAGGTAGAGTTTTGTCCATCTAGTTACTTCCTCCAGAGATATTTCTAGGAGAAAACAGGTTTGGGGGCAGGAACTGGGTTCATCTTTACGCTGCGGATGGCACTTCCAAAGTGCCAGTGAACTGGAGCTCATTCAAGGGAAGCAGCTGGTACAGAAGTGTGGTGCTCTCCTGCTCTCTCTATACTTCTTTCTTTAAAGGAGCTGCTACCTCAGGATCTTCTCTCAGGCTCAAATAAAAGCTCTTTCTTTCAAATGGTTTTGGCTTGTGTCATGGTTGTGCCCTCCCATCCCCCTCCTTGAAGCCAGAGAAGCAGAGTAGAAGCATTTCCTTGACTTGTAGCATCTGAACCAAATCTCAGTCTGAGCCGGTTCCTGCAGTGTGTGACTATGTGTTTCAGTGACCTCATCCCTCAGTCCAGCAAGTCATCGAGGTGTCACGTCAGGTGCGCCCCACATCTCATCACTTGTCATCCTTCCTCTGTGATCTCCCAGGTCAGCTTTCATAATGCTGGCGCAGAGAGAACTGAGTACCCAGAGGAGCCTGGAGCCTAAGAGTCTGAAGTGCTGGGGACCTCACAGTTAGAAGTGGGCCCTGTGAGGTAGCCAAACCTATCAGGTCCTGCTCTGCAGAAACAGGGAACTGGGTAGAAAATGGACATAGATTCCAGGACCAAGGGAGGAGACGCAAGCAGCCAGCGGAGACTGTCCTTTGGCCACCAGAGAAGTATGAGCAAAAGCTCCTGACAGTGGGCCAAGACTGAAGAGCCCTTGAAGGTACCCTAGAAAGCCTCTCAGCATATACCCCAGCCACAGGAATCCAGCAGGCCCTTTTCTTCCCCTTGTCTCTCCTGTGACCCTGTCCCTAACAACAGAAGAAACTGTGGGTTTAGTTCAAAGTATTGACTTTGACATTGGAATGGCTTTTTAAAAATAGGTAAGATTTAAAAAAAATTTTTTAAGTTTCATATACCTCCCTTCTAACTCATCCCTATTTAAGAAAGTCCCTTCTGGGCCAGGGATTTAGCTCAGCAGTTCGGTGGCCTGCCTATGAGTGCAAATTAATACTTTGTGCAGACTAAGACATGCATCACTTTTCCACATTTTAACACCTCAAAACAATATAATCAGGCATGCCTAGCATCACCAAGAATTGCAATATTTATTTCACCTATATGTCTCTTTTTTATCTATGTCCAAAATTGATTTATCATAGAAATTCAGGACTAAGTAGGTGAATTCTCAAAAAGTTCTGAGCATTGTGCCAGTTTAATCAGCAGTAGTCAGCCTTTCTTAGGGACACATAATGATGCCTATGTCATTCTTGGCATCTTGGAGTCAAAGAATCTGCAATAAGTGTTGTTCACAAATAGCCTGCCCATCCTTGTCTGCATCTTTTCCATTTGGGAGATCATTGGTTCTGAAGGACATACAAGTGTCCCTAGTGTTGTAGTATTACAAACAGTGCTGCATTAGGACAACTTGTACCTGCAAATTATATAAACAAAGTAAATTCCTAGGAGTGGGATGGCAGGGCAGGATCAGAGAATTGATCAATTTACTCTCCCTTCCACAATGGATGTCAAAGCTTTTTCCACAGGTTTTCCAGCAGGGTGTGCTGTGTGAGTTCCTTAACCAGCTAATTCGTCCTGTGTGATTGTTGTGTATGTCGTCAATGGTCATTTATTACTAAGTTATTTTCTGTATTTTATAAAATGCTAAATCCTTTCTATGCATTATCTCCTTAATCCTCACACTAACACTATGAAGCAGGTACATTTAATAAAGAGGCAGGTGCCTTTTTTAAAGAACTCAGTTCTTGGATAAATGTAGAAGAAATGAAACAAGGTTTCAACCTTGAAGATAACCTCAAATATTCATAGAGTTATTACACAAAACTTGAGACTTGTCCAGTATTTCTTCAAAAGGAAGATCTTTTGAAACAAGGGATAAAAATAAGGAACAAATAGCCTGTGGGATAGTTTGCTTATTTTAGTGGCTCCTTTCCTCATACATTACATTCCACACTTAACTTTTCCCTTCTTCTGAAAAGAAACACTACAAACTTAATGCTTCTCATGAATATCTTATGTAAGTCACATTTTCATGACAAGGTCTCTTGGGAAAAAAATCTAATGTTAGCAAGCTGGGTTACTAAGGAAATAATCTGTTAGTTCAACATATTTCTGTACTTTGCATTTGTGATTCTCTGTAGTGAGAGAAGAGAGCATATTTTACAGAGAGTGAATCACAGTTCCCACCAATTCAGGTACTGTCAGTGGGACAGTCCTCAAACCCCCAGTGAATCACTACAGCTGTCAACGAGTGGCCCATGTGGGAGTGTGGTGTGTACACGGGGAAGGAAGAAGAGATTTGACAACCACTGTTCTACATAAAATAGGAAAGCTTATTTT